ATACTATCATCCGAGAATATCCAAGGCGGAGATTTCGAGCCACTAGCGACTACAATCAGCCGGATATTGGGGAAGCTACTCTACCACATCCGATTTTGGAAAGTAAGCATGTCAGGAAATGATGACGAAAGGGAACTCGAGCGCTAGTGGAGACGGAAAACTTACATCGACCAAGGATACTATCATCCGAGAATATCCAAGGCGGAGATTTCAAGCCACTAGCGACTACAATCAGCCGGATATTGGGGAAGCTACTCTACCACATCCGATTTTGGAAAGTAAGCATGTCAGGAAATGACGACGAAAGGGAACTCGAGCGCTAGTGGAGACGGAAGCCTTGCATAAACAGTTGATTCCATTATATAATACATAGGATTACTTGGTGTGGACACATTTATTGGGGCATTTGAAGATTCGGCCTGTAACATTTTGAATCCCTTTTTCTTTGCACTTTTGCAGAAACTCACAGGTGTTTCCGTTGAAGCAGCCTTGGACGCACCTATAAGTACGGATCTGGTGGTAGTACCAGCGATTTGCTTTCAAATGTGTCTTCTTGGGGGGTGGTTTAGTCATGCGGGTGAATGCTTGTATGACTATGGAAAGCTTGGCTTCGTTTGTCTTCGCTTTCCGGCAAAGTTCCTGATAGTTTGGTAGTGAAGACTGAAGGGTTGCTGGTGGAATGGTGTTAGTCGTAACATCGGAATCGGTCATTGTAGTGTCACCTGATTTTGTTGGCAGACTTGTCATTCGAGTCATGGCCTGAGTGAACAGCTCGGGTGGTAAGTGTTTTTTGAGTTTGTTGAGTAGAATTTCAGTTGAAACTTCTTTTTCGACGTGATTCAGTGCCTTGGCCTTGCGGCAGAGTTCTGGAATATTGCGAGCCAAATCAGTTTCGCTGTCAACTTGCATAAGGTCGAACACAAACCAAGATGCTAACTCGGGCAGACTTTTTTTGTTGAATCCACAGGTGCCACTTCCATTGTTGGCTATGTGAAGAAGATTTCCAAGTTGTTTGATAAAAATCGGAAAGTAGGGACCAACCATTTCATTGGTCGAGAGACGATTGAGTTGGCGAAACAATCCAAACAATGTTGCGGCGTCGCCAAGATAGGTCATCTGGACTGATAGGCTTCCGTGCCTTCCATCAGCAAGCAGAGTTACATTGGTAGATTGCCCACTTATCTTCATTGCTGCGTCATTGAAAATGGCAGACTCCTCATGGGATGGTATGGACGTGGGAATGGACTCTTTGTCAGATTGTAGTTGTTCCAATTTGATGGCCCAGTAGGCAAGAAGAAATGCAGTTTTGCGAAGCATGTGGGTGCCTGCAATTAGGTGTTCTCCGTCCATTCCTGACTGGAGGTCCATGCCAACCAACTTGACAAAGAATTCTATATGTGTCAAGAATGATCCATAGTAATACTTAGCGGTTGGATTCGCATCGAACATCTGTGTTGACTTAGGGAAGAGGAACCCACCTGTTCTTTTGGTTGCCGCTATGTATAATAGCAGTGGCCGAACAGGGGACAACTCAGGGTATTTTGGGTCGTCGTACACTTGAAAGTGTCTCTCTTGCCCATCACATTTCCCCTTGATCTTCACACAAAGGGAAATCACTGTTTTCCCTTTGATGACAAAGTATTTGGGGACAAACGACTCGGTCTCCAAGCTGAGAACCTCGTCGATTCGCAGATAGAGACGGCAGCCAAGGATGATGACGCACCATTGCATCAGTTTGGCCAAGGATCCATCATTAGCACAGTGATCTCGAATTGTTCTCAGTTGACTTGGGAGGAAGGAAGCACTACTTTTGGACATGTAGTGCTGTTGCGCGTATTTTTCAATCATGGAAAAATGCTGTCCAAAAGTTTCACTTTCGATGACGTTTCCCTCCCCAAAAGCTTGACAATGCCCGTTGTGAGCTCCGCAGGACTTGTTGTTTTGACGCTGTTCGAGAGTCAGCTTGCGACATTCTTTGCAGGCCAGAAAATAAGAACCATTTTTATGTCTGGAACTACCTCTGGTGGTGTCGTAGGCCTTGTGGATTTGGCTGAGAGCGGATCTGAAGATTCCAATGGTGGATACGGCAGTCCAGGACCCTACAGCTTTCAGTGGTTTGCCACGGGAGACAACTGGTACGTGAGACTTGTGGTGGAGTACCGTCTCGTCCAAAAGTTGTACCTTGTACCGTAGAAAGAGGATGGCAGTATCATCAGATACAGGTGGGGGGTTTTCGGGACAGTGATCTCGCATTAGAATGATGGCGGACTCGTAGTCTTCCATAAAGAAGCAAAATTCAAGAAAGTCCTTCAGGGCCTTTGCATATCTGTCGACCGTTTGGGCCTTTGCTCTCACGGTGGCAATTTGGTGGCTGTCTTGGTTTTGACCAACGATGGTAGTGCGGTGAGTCTCTGACACCTTGAGACCAAGCTCTGTGATCAAGGCCTTGGTACGCTTGACCCCCTCTTGGTACTCGGCTTTAGAGATTAGGGGGATTCGTTTCTTGGGTTTGGGTTTGGGCTGGGGCTTGGCTGGGGGTGGAGGACCGAGGTTTGGGTGGAGAATCTCGGCAGACATGGTGGTTTTATTTATTTTGTGAAAAAGAAATTAAAAAAATATGTATTATTGTTTTTCTTATATGCGGTTATTATTGGTTTTCGTGAGGTATGGAGGCAGGATGGGTGGATGGGAAGGTGCACGGTGGGCCCACCCCAGGTCTTGTCAGAGGTCAGAGGTCCACCGGAGGGTGCGCAGGGGGCGCATAAGTTGCACCGCCATACAGAAAAAAAAATCCTGACATATTCTTTTTTTTTTTTAGGCAAGAGAATCATTCATCCCAATGATCGACTCGTCCGAATCATAACGGAATAACGGACAAACCGGCTTGAGAGCACCATCACTTTTTATAAAAAAACTTCCTTGATCCGCTGACCTTATTCGTTACGCTTCGACTATTTTCATCTCTCACTTTTGGGTTTGAAAAAGCAATCATGGGCCGAAACTGGAAACGGAATCAAAAGAACAAATACAACCGAGGTGGGAAAAAGCCGAAGCCTGCAGATCCTTCAAAATATGGGGAACATAAAGACCCGTACAAACTGATCTCAGGTGGAAACTACAAACTCGAGGCCTATTATGCCTATCAAGATATCCACCAACAGGTATTCGATAGTCAAAGCAATGATTTCTTGGAATGTCGAAGTGATGAACAAAAGGAAGAGGAGAGAGTCAAATGGCTGGAGAGTATGAAATCGATTTTGCCCGCTTCGTTTAGAATTGGACGTGATGTTGATGTTGTCCTCCGTGACCGACTTAAAAAGGAGCTTGAGTTTCGTCGTTTCCCGCTCATATTTACCTTCTCGATCATGGATTGAAGCCGAAAGTGGCTTCCTGTTTGTTGGATGGACATTTTCAGAAAAACTCAAAAAATGTTGTCGAGAAATAAATGAGGTTTTCAAGCGCCGAATTCACATGAACCGATCCCACCGGCCTCAACTGCAACTGTTTCGAATGAGTCTATATAAGTACATTATTTCTAAAAACAAAGATACAGTACATGATACCCTAGTATATGGCTTATTTAGGAGTCCCTACCGGTACACGTACGTCCTATTCTGTATACATAAACTGAAAAATGCATGCGAGGAGGCTACCACTTCTTCACCTCTGAAGATTTGAGAGACGCATTGGGAGCGAGCATAGAGGATTCAATCTTGTCACTGCTATCCTGCTTTCTATTCTACATTTAGCACCTCACTCAACAGTGCCGCACTTTTCGTTGCTTCATAGTCACTGCCTCATCCCTTTTTACATGAATGAAACATCGTATGGGGAGGCGTCAAATGGGGCACTCGTGATCGACATCACACATTCGCACATCAGCAACCAAAATCCCCCATTGGACGTATTCATTAGTTTTGCGCATTTACTGGTTGGCTTGTATTCGCCTGGTTCTATCCATGGCTGTTGGTGCATTCATACACAATTCCGAGTATCATACGGGTTGCAATATTATTGTGACCTCACGACACATCCACATCACGGAAACACGACCATATAGCATAGAGTCCTACGAGTCAATAACTCAGTCAATCCAGTATCACATCACATCTTGAGATGAACCCACAAGGTAGCTGAACACGGTACCAGGTACCAGGAACCGTCACCTGTTACTGATAGGCTACATGTATGTGAAGAACGATTTTTCAACAAATCTCTTCATAAGAGCTATTTCTACAGTATTATAAATTACAGCTTTTGGAGGACTGAAACAAGCCGAAAGGCTTCAATTTCATTATTGACGTCCACACCTCTGGCCACAGCTCCGTGCATAGACGTGACTTCAAATCCAGTTATC